GAATGTGTTCTGCTAGCAGCATTCTTACCATAAATACTGCATCAGGTACAATTAGGAAAATTTTGCATTTTGTTTTTGACAACTGAATGATTATAGTGAAAAAGTTAATTTACAGTTAGATCTCAGCATCGAATATTATAGAATATTATAAACAGTTTGTTCTCTCATTTCCATCTCGTCAACTTCACTTTCACTAACTGACATTATTAAATCAGTTTAATCTACCTTCCTTTAACTTCCACAAACCTAGGTTAAGAATACGCGAGTATCAACAGGAACAAGTCAGATCAACAATTAAATTGGTCAACTGATCAGCTGATCAGCTGATTAGTTTACGTTCGAAGCATTACAATTTTAATTCTTTTCTATCAATACTTGAACCTCATTGGTCCGTTACCTGTGCTGATATGAGAAAAACTATGCTGATATGAAATGAAACTATGCTGATATGAAAGTAAACAGCTGTTAAGTGAAACATTTTAATTCTAAGAACTGAACTGAAATGGCTACTTTAAAAAACGGTCGTAGGTAAAAAATGTTTTTAAAACTTCCAAGTTTTATTATTATTAGGCACTCAACAGTAAATACATAGGATCAGTTAAAGCTGGGTTTTCCTAGCAGCGGAGTCGGCCGGCGGAGAGCGGACAACGGAGAGCGGACTCAGCTGGTCTTCGGCAATTTAATGTTACTGTTTTCCTAGCAGCGGAGCGGACCGCCACGGGCCGAGCGGAACTCGCTTCTCCGCGTTCGGTTGTCTAGTCGCGGGACGCGGAGAGAGGAACACGGAGAGCCGAATTAGTTGTTAATTGAATGGTAATATTTTTCTAGAGGCCGAAAATCGCTCTTCCGCGTTCCTCTGCTCCAAGAGCAGAGAAGTCCGCTGACCGCTGGCGGACTGGCCGGGTCTCTGTACATTAATTTATCAAAGTACCTATCGACCACACTTTGCTCGAGTTGAGGAGAGCAGTAGTGGTCTTTGGTCAATGACATTCATCCAAATATTTTAATCAGAGAATTTCCAATATAGGAAATATGCTATTGCCGTAGGTCACATAGTAAAACCTAAACACGTCTCCGATTTACTTTTGTCTTTTTTGAAGACTCCAGAGACCAAAACACGTGTACAATCTGACACAAGGGGTCTGAGAAAAACGATTCAAATCAAAGGGATACGATTCCTCATACCAAATTAAAGAAATATGTTCATAAAATATGGCAGAAAATGAATATATACCCAGGTATCCGCAGTTTTTTTAAAACAATATTTGTATCTTTGACAATATTCAACCCATCTTTACGAAACTTGATCTATATGTTAAATAATAATTTTCATTGATCTTACAGGAAATTTCCCTATTTAGGAAGTAGCTACAAGTGTACCGTGGCACAGTAAAACTTATACCCGCGACCAATATAATAAAAAAAAAATAAACTGTTTGTTCAAATTGTTATACAGGGTGTCCCGTAAGTAAACAGCCAAACTCCGGGAAATGGTTCTGTGGGTCAAAATAAAGAGAAAATCAACAATAACATTTTTCCTAAAATCGCTTTGTTATCAAGATATCCGCCATTGTGTATTTTTTACATAAACATTTTTATTTTTGATATGTAGGTGAAGGTTAAAAAGACCAATGTTGGTAAAAAAAATCATCTTGATTCAACTTAAACATTTTTAAATGGCGGCCATTAAAATGGTTTAAGCTTAAATTATTTAAAAAACGGCTTATTTTATGAAGAAATGTCAAGAACACCTTTATTTAGTCTCTTTAATTCCTATCAAACGATACCAAGTTAAAAAAGATCGAATAATAAATAGTTGAAATATTACGATTTTTAGGTGTACAATGGGATAGAATAAGGCAAAAGCTAGTCAGGGCGATTTTGGAAAAATGTTATTCTTGATTTTCTCTTTATTTTGACCCATAGAACCATTTCCCGGAGTTTGGCCGTTTACTTACGGGACACCCTGTATATTTATGTGTAGGGTTTTCCGTAAGTAAACAGCTAAGCTCCAGCAAATGGTTCATCGAGCCAAAATAAATATAAAATGAAGAAAACATTTGTTCTAAAATCACTTCGTTAATCAGATATCCAAAATTTCGTGTTTTTTCAGATACAGATTTATTTTTATTTTTGGATTTATCATAGATACTGATATTTATAAAACTTTGTATGTATGTAACTTAAAGTATGTTAGAGTACAAGAGACCCATATTGAAAAAAAACATTGTTATTGTCTCACAAAACATTTCAGAATGGTGGTAATTTAATTTTTTCTAATATTTAAATTTTTAAAAAATTGAGGAATTTCATAAAATATTGTCTGGAATACTTTTATTGAGCATTTAAAATTTCTTGTCAAACTTCTTTTATCATATTTTTGTCGTGAATCTTTACAAAGAAAAGTTTAAAAAAACTACAAGTTTAAAAAGCGATGAAATTTGTAATGGAAAAGAAATAAACTGTTGTAGTTTCATTGTTTAAAAATATATTTAAAAAAATTGCATTAATGAATATTTTACTATGAAACACACGTTATTACTTTAAGTACCCGTAGTGGCAAACCTAATCACTCATTAAACTTAATTTGATTGAAAAAGGAAATATGCCTAATTCTGATATTTTAAAGACATATTTTACTGAAAGTCAAATCACCGAAATGGATATTCGCTTATTCTGCAGGTTTGCTGTTGTGTGAGTATTTTTATTTTTTGTGAATTTATCTACGCAAAATGGGTCCAACTGTTTTATTGTTTTCAAGATATAAACAAAAATTCGTGTTAGTTAGTTTTGTTAGCTAATTAAAATGTTCAGAAATATGGTGCAAACCAAAAACATCATACCCGTGGAACAACGAACAATATAATAATAAAATAGTATATAATGATAAAATACTATATAATAATAAATTATTATATAATAATATAATATTATATAATAACAAAATATTTTATAATGATTAAATATCATAATAATAATATTTTAATATATGCACCACAGAGAAGTAAGATATTTTTACTTCTCTGTGTATGCACCGGATGTTCTTACGCGGCGCGAGTGATTGTTGTGGCTGTGGCCAGGCCGTGGCTCGTCACTCATTGTTGTAGTTTGTCGCAACGTGTTGTTTACGTATCACGTAAGTGCAGCTATTTAACAATTTGAAGACAGCAGGAAGATAGCTCTCGATTATCATTGCTTTAGCAGTTAACTGTTTACTGCAAATCATCAATAACAGGTAATTAGGAGTGTGTTTTTTAGTTTAAACTTATATAGGCCTACATACTGTATTTTATAATTGTAGCTTCACTGCTAAGCAAAGTTTACTAAAATACAATTTGTTTAGTTCAACAGTTTGACCATTGGATGTAAATGTATATGTTGTATATAATATGCTCAATGGCTGGCATTACAGTGATTTTAAAGGAGTTTCTTGGTATCTATTCTAATTAAACAAACGTTTTTAAAATAAGTTGGATCCTTGGAATGAGAAGGGGCTTTAGTCCACTAAACCTCTAGCCTTTGGAAAAACACAAAACAACTGTGTAAAACCAGAAAGGGACTGAGGTCCTTTCTCTTTAAAATACTAAATTGAATTGGTCCATATCTCTATTATTAGGACTTTGTTTTTACATTATGGCTTTGTGCAGCTATGTTATAGGAATTGTTTCGGAGGCTTAACTGAATTTCATATTTTTTGTGACTGAGTTCCTTTCTTATTCCAAAGTATGTTTTATACATAGGGTGAGTTTTCACCTAGTAGAGTGAAATTAAATTATTCCCCCCTAAACCCCATACAAAGAATCCATTAAAAACATTCAGAGCATGATCCAAGCACAGGGTGTTCCAGAACTGAAGGTCACAGGTTCGAATATGGAAATTTCTTTATGTCAACCCACATCTTGTTGTACATTTTTAGAAAGCTCTTGCTTGCTTAGACCCACATTTTGATAAAAACAGAACATATTATGTATATATTTATTTATTTATTTATTTATTCATATACATGTATGTGTGTCCGTTATCACGATAACTCGAGCAAAAATGTTCCGATTTTGACGAAATTTGGTATAAACGTGAAAACCTATTCGAACGAGTTCGTGAACTAGTATGATCGGATTGTGGGAACAAGGGTTTATGGGGTAGAAGACGGTAATGACGTAATGTTTGCCAATTGTGATCATCTGCTTGTTTTAATCTTTCCTTGGAAAATAAATAAATAAATACCTACGTCATTGCCGTCTTCTATCTTGACGTCATGCTTGACGAGCATTACGGTCTGTTTTTTTAGTGTGGCCTGGCTGTAAGTAGCTCGAAACATGTACAGCATATGTAAACATTTGACACATCCAGGCAAAAGTAAGTAAATCTTACTTATAGTAAAAAATTACACAATGCATGTTAATTGCATTACCAAATAATACATTTTTATAATTTTTTTGGATGTAGGCTTTTGAAAATTTAGGACATTACGTGTATATACGAAAAATTCACAAAAATGACCACCATTTTGAAACGGAATGAGATAATTGAGTTCTGTTTTCATAAAAATGTGGGTCTAAGCAAGAGTTTTCTAAAATAAAAAAGATATGGGTTGATAACAGGAAATTTCTAGATTTGAGCCCGTGACCTTCAGTTCTGGAACACCCTGTGCATGGAATATGCTCAAAGTATTTTAAATAGATTCTTCGTATGTGATTTAGGGAGGAATAATTTCAATTCTAGGTTTTTAAATAAATTAGAATTTCTAGGTGATAACGTAATCCCGTAATAGTATGCTTACGGGTGGTCTGCCTCACTCTGTATATAGGAAGGATTGGGATATTTATTTAACAATTAATTTGATATCATTTGAAATACTTCCTTCGTTTCATCTGATGTTGTTATCTTCGATATATTATTGAAAGTTCTATCTATTGAAAGTTGTACCTATTTTAGTTTTACGTGAAAAGATAAATTTAGCAAATTGTAACATTTTTACAGTACAGCACGAAGTGTCTACCATGAGTCGGTTTACTGCCTCTGACGACGAACAACTCATTGAGTTGGTTCAGGGTCATCCTATAATATGGAATATAATGGAGAAGGATTATAAGAATGTTGTGAAGAAAGAGTTTATATGGAGTGATATTGGCAAGACAATGAACAAAACTGGTAAGTGCATTATTTGTATTTATTTTCTAACAACAGTATCTAACTTTTTAATAGCTCTGTAGTTATATATTTCCACATATTACATAGGGCACAGGGGGTGAACAGCACTCACAATAATACAGTTATTAACTGTAGACGAGACTAGACAGTAGGTATGTTTTCATGTTTATTGTAGTATGTTGATATGAAACGTTCTTCTCATTGCCCATCTAAATAAATACAGTATCATATTAATCACTAGTCTTCGGCAAGAACTATGGTTGCAGGCCTACGCTGTTAACGTTATGTGCACAAGATATTTAAATTTCAGTTTGGACTCTGTTCTCTATATGTACCTAGTTATAGAATGGACGAAATGGTAACTCTTTACATAATGTCAATATGCCTAGTTTACAACATAACTATGCAGGGTTATTTTAACTGCAAGCATTGACTTTATATCTACACAATGCAAGCTAGTGTTATTAATAATCCTAACTTTCAAGCCTACGTTCGAAGATATTACAGGTTAATTTTGGTTAGGGAAAATTAATGAAATTACCCTGAATAGAGTCACAAATTTCAAACAAAAGAAATATATAATTTAAGTGAATGGCATTTTATTTTAAGTATATTGCTGTGAACTTTATAGTTGTTATTTTACACTCAAAGAAAACTAAATTATTTACAAGTATTTTACAATATTTACATATACTGTACTGATAAGAAAAAATATTCTTAAGATTATGTAGGCATATACAGTTCCCAGTTTTTCTTAAAATGTTACACGAGGAATTTATTTTCTTCTTGCTGATTTACCATTAAAATACTCTGCAAACCTTTCTCTGACTTTAAAGCCTTCCAATCTTGTGTAACCTCCTGTACCGGCCAATGGAATCATATTTTCAACTGGAAAATCATGTATAGTTTCATCAATCAATCTGTGGTTAGGGTTCTCTTTCAAAAACCTATCTCTAATTAGGTTGTGCAGGCAGCAACACACGATAATAATGTTATCCACTGTTTCTGGTTTAACATTTATGGGAGTGAAAAAGATTCTAAATATCACGCACATGATGCCGAATGCGTTCTCTGACACTCTCCTAACTTTGCAAAAGTGATAGTTTAGAGCTCTTTTTTCTAGATCTTCCACAGCTTGCCGTTTAGGATAGCACTTCATCATGTGTTTATCTAATTTAAAAGCTTCATCGCCCAAAACGACATGTGGAAGTAAAATGTTGGAATTGGGTAGGTATTCTGGCAAGGGGAAAATCACTTTTCCATCTTCAATCATTTTTCCCAGAAGCGATTTCTGGAATATTCCAGAATCTCCTTCTTTCCCGTATGATCCAACATCAACAATGAGAAACTTGCAATTTGCGTCAACTAAAGCAAATAGTACAACTGAAAAGTATTTTTTATAGTTAAAAAATAAACTTCCAGTGTTATTTGGAGCAACTATTCTGACGTGTTTGCCGTCTAAAGCGCCAACTAAGTTTGGAAAATCCCAACGCTCAAAAAACTCAACTGATTTTTTCTTCCAATCAATTTCACTTGGTGGTGGCAAATATTTTACCAACAGTTTTTCTTTTAAAGCCTTTAGAACTTTTGGAACAATTTTTGTTATTTCTGAAGGGGATATCCTATAAGAAAATCCTAAAGATCGGAAAGATTCTCCAGTGGCCAGAAATCTGAAATTAAAAGTTTTTATTAGAAATAATAATGTATAATACTATCTATATATCATTACATACTGCACTAAATAAAAAAAAAAAATTGTTGACCTAGAATCATTGCTTAACTTGAAGGGTTCAGAAATTACATAATTTAGGACTGAGGTGAAGAGTTTTTTTACAAAACCTTTGCCATCATAACAATATAGGTATTGTGCTATTAACAAAAATAATGGCGTATTTAAATTGATTATTATTCATAGGGGATACATAAAACCAATTTAGTGTTACATTATTACATAGTTTGGGTGTGTTGCAGGGACTGAGTGTAAAGCCAGATGGAAGAATATGAGGGATTATTTTAGAAAACAAAAGAAGGAAGAGAGAAATCAAACAACAGGGTCTGCAGCAACAAAAAGGAAAGCGGGATACTGGGAAAGACTGCGTTTTTTAGATGTGGTGCCAGAGGAAAGATGTAGTTTAACAAATATTGAATCATCGGTCTCTGAAGAATCATTTGGTGATCAATTAGATTATGTTGACGATCTCTTAGATTTAACAGCGTCGAATGTGCAAGGAGATATTTCGGAATGTGAGACGAGTTCAAATACAGGGAATCGTGGGGATGAAACAAAAACAGAAAAGCCAAAACAAAACAAAAGAAAAAAAGTAATGCAAGATTCAAGCATCCTAGGGATCTTAAATTCAAGACAGTCTGCCAGAGAAGAGCACCGCAGGAAAGTTGAACTCCTTTTGGAGAAGAGAGAAGAGGACGAAATGGATTTGTTTTTCAAAACCATGGCCGCCACTACTAGGAATTTTAGTAAAGATTTAAAACGGCAAGCAAAAATAAAAGTGTTTAACATTATTACTGAGTTAGAAGGACTACAACAGGGAGGATTTTCTACTTTTAATTACGACAGTTCGGTGCCATCAACATCAGTAGGCCTACAGTCTAACAGGCACACATACACTGAACGGCCATTGCCAGTGAACGATTTTGTTTTTGATAGTAGTTGGTTGCAAAAAAACAATTAAACCAAAAAACCATCCCGGTAACATTTTTATTTATTACTGATTTACTTGGTTTTGTATCTTTTTTTTCTCAAACGTAGGAGTTAACACTATGTTTAAATGTTTTGTCTTCAAACTTGTCTTAATACTTAACTTGTCTTAAAACTTTGTCTTGGTTTTGTCTCTTATTTTATTACACGTAGGAGTTAACACTATGTTTAAATGTTTTGTCTTCAAACTTGTCTTAATACTTAACTTGTCTTCAAACTTTGTCTTGATTTTGTCTCTTATTTTATTAAACGTAGTAGTTAACACTATGTTTATCTTATGCTTTATTTTTAACCACCAATTTTTTTATAGCACTATTCTACATAAACGTGTTCGTGTTAAGAATAATTGTTTTTATTTTTTGGCCACTTAAGAAGTTTGGTAATTATTAATACGAGGTGTTAGCCCGTCCTACGTACGGGAATTCAGTAGTCAGTTAAAACCGTGTACAATTCAGATCAGCTAGTTTTCAACTATAAAGACAAAGTTTCTTGCCGTTTTAATGTGAAAAATCATCTTGTAAACAAATGTTGTGTGACCAAATATGTTTTTTATTCCATCATAGATATGATATGCATTTTAAAACCGACAATTTTACAATAAAACTGTAATTCTGCAATTTTTACGATGTGAAAAGCGTTGAAGTGAGATTTGCAGCGATGAATACATTCATAAACAGTTTAAAAAGCTTATTTTTTAGTTTATACAACACATACCTTAGTGTTAGTGCCAGTTTCATATTCACTGAAATTGGCGTTGCGACTCTGTTATAAACATGCGATTTCAGTTCTTCTACATCCTGGATTTCTTCGTACAAATCAAAGAACTCTTGTTTAGTCAAACGAAAGTATTGCTTAAACCGCAGTTCGTCATCAATCAAATGGTTGTTAACCAGAATGTTGAACACACCCTCATCTTCACGCGTTTTATAAATCTCACTTTCACATTTTCGGCCCTTTGTCAAATTCAGTAGCAACACTTTCTCCTCTTCCATTTCTTCCTCATCCTCCTCTTCAAGATGTAATAAAATAGCGAGTCTATCCATGTCCATATCGACCACACCACACCACTTTCAGAACACGAATGAACAACAATTCTACAATCACAATTCCGCCAGCGGACAGCGGACAGCGGAGAGCGGACTCCGTTCTCCGCTGTCCGCTCTCGGTTGTCCGCTCTCCGCCGGCCGACTCCGCTGCTAGGAAAACCCAGCTTTTACAACTATAAAGCAACCGACTGCTTTATGCAAGTAAAATATAAACGTTATTTTAACAAATGTGAATAAGGCTTTCCTCAACAAAGTGAAGAATGTAAATTAAACTTATGATTTGTCGTAGCTATAGTTTACAAACAGTGTACTATTTTCATGTTTTAAGTGTATCCCTCTACAAACTGTATGACTAAATTTTGTATTAATCATCTACTCCCGTAATTCATTTGGTGGATTAAGTTTTCTTTTTGAAAAAAAGACTCCTTCTGTGTCTTTATGTTAGCAGCAGCCTTATGTTCACCCTACCTCCTTTTTATCAAAAACACTTAATGACACTTTTAAATAAACTTTTTTGGCTTGATCTTTTTCGTTGCTGAAAATATGATAGTTATTTTTGTAAAATGTGAACTTGTGTGTTTAAAACATTTTAAAAGTAAAAAATCACCTTTTGAAAAGAAATGTTACAAGCGTATTTATTTGTAAGTTGTTCTGATTTTAAACGCATGTTGTAAACGTAATAATTAATTGGATTAATTATTAAAAAAAACCATTATTACATTATTATAACATTAAAATTATTATTAAAAAAATACATTAAAACATTACATTATTAAGATCTTATTACCAAAACAACTACAGTATGTCTAGTTAAAATACAGAGAAAGGACTCTGCCTTTAGAGATATGGCACAACGAAGGTGAAATATTCACTTTTGTATACCTTAAGTTTTTAATTTTCAAACCAACGGAATACTTTATCATCAGTAAGCTTTGATATCAGGATCCACCTGTTTCATGTATTGACTTTACACAGAATCTTTGAAAAGTCAACCGACAAAAATCATAACATAAACAAAACCGAGTTCAACTGGCAATAACGGACTGCAATTAAAAAGCAGAAAATAATTTATAAAAAAAGAATTAACACCTTTGCACCTTTTACTACCACCTAAAAACGCCTCACGTGGGAGAGGGAAAGTAAGGAAGTGTAATACTGATTTGTGACCTTGAGATAGGAAACTCTGACATTAGGGTGGAGATTACAGTCAATAGACCACTTAGTCCCTCCTGCTTAGTAGGATTTATGTCCGGTTATAAGGGTGAACTTAGGGTACCTTTGTATCTACGGGGACTCCCATCCTAAACACTAAAACATTATACGATGATATGTTTTAAACACACAATGGCTAGGTTACACTCAAAATACATATTTTACTACAAGAAATTTGCTTTAAGAATATTATTAAAACATTATGCGTGCAAGTCTCGTATATAAAATAGTTACATTAGAACACACTAAACCTATTAACATTTTATGCATTTACATTATTGATATCAGCATGAATATTGGGTATTTTATCAGTTAAGGCATGTTTATAATTGAAGCATTACTGTCAATTACATCTAGTCGTTAGTTAAATTTTCAGCACACTACCAGAAACATACAGGATAGTAATGAAAACCCATGCATACAGCCACTACACTGTTTGTACACTTAACTATTTTAACAGAATCATTAAATTAGTTGTATAGTCAACGTTTTTCTTTCCAATATCAGTGAAATTTCAACATTATTGAACAAACCTGTCTCATATGTTTGTGTTTTGTCTAGTTTCATTGAGAGCCAACTGAAAAAAATGCTTAAAAAAATAAAGCAAGAGAGGTCAGTAAATTTAAAGGACTCCTGCTAATGTCACTGGTACCTTTCTTTAAACAACGAACTTCTGGACCTTAAATATTACAGAACCACCTGTTTACCTGTGGAGTGTGGTGAAATAGGTATTTTACCTACGACCGTTTTTTAAAGTAGCCATTTCAGTTTAGTTCTTGGAATTGAAAAGTTTCACTTAACAGCTGTTTACTTTCATATCAGCATAGTTTCATTTCATATCAGCATTGTTTTTCTCTTATCAACACGGGTAACGAACCAATGAGGTTCAAGGATTGAGAGAAAAGAAGTACAATTGTAATACTTCGAACGTCAACTAATCAGCTGATCAGCTGATCAGTTGACAATTTTAATTGTTGATCCGGCTTGTTCCTGTTGATACTCGCGTAATTTTAACCTAAGTTGGTGGAAGTTAAATGAAGGTTGATTTTAAAATATCAGTTAGTGAAAGTGATGTTGACGAGATAGAAATGAGAGCACAAAATGTTTGTGCTAATCTTTTGCCACCAAAATCAAAACGAAGGTACCATATGCAATTACATACCAGCAATTCATTAAATGGACGAAACAAAATAAGGTTAAATTGATAAATGAAAATGTTCTTCTGGTTTATTTTGAAAACCTCTTAACCACTTTTTCACCCAACTTGTTGTGGACCACATATTCGATGCTGAGATCTAACTGTAAATTAACTGTTTCACTATATTATTCAGTTGTCCAAAAATATATGCAATATTTCCCTAATTGTACCTGATACAGTATTTATGGTAAGAATGCTGCTAGCAGAACCTATTGCCTGAAAAAGTAACGTATTATTTAACAAAGTTTTACAAACACGTAATTACATGAAATCAGCTGATTATACAATAAGTCGTTGCATCACTTTCAGTGACAATGACAATAAACGAAAACATAACCTCTGTAGGAAGTTATGAGTAGTGATTGTTAGTAATAAAAAACCAGATTTTTAGTAATTAAAAAACTGTCGTAGGTAAAGTAGTGTACGCAACTCGCGTTAATAGTCTTTACGCAATCGTTGCGTAAACTACTATTTGAGTTCCTTTATCATATGGTAGTTTAAATAAACGGTATCAGCATTCTGACACATACTTTCTCCCATAAGATTGTCAACAACCTTTCTCATGAGTAAGCGGTGAGAGTAAATATACGGAAATCGGATTTGTACAATTTTCTTCAGAATTTAAAGGACTATAACATACTAAATTTTTATCAAAATCGTTCTAGCCAATTTTGGGAAAATCCGATTTTCCGTTATTCTATGGGGATTTTTATGGGAAAATAACATAATTTACCATAACTTTTGAACCGTAATTTTTACAGAAATGGGATTTACATCATTTTGTTTAGAATATAAAGGACTATAACATACTAAATTTTTATCAAAATCGTTCTGGCCATTTTTGAGAAAATCATATTTTTCCAGTTTTTTATGGGGTTTTATGGGAAAATCCCCATTAAAAATAAAATTTTCTAAAAAATGACAAAAACTATCAAAATTGTAAGGATCATAACATACTCTGTTAAATCAAAACCGGATTTTTGTCTAAAATCCTATTTTTTGTTATTTTATGGGGGTTTTATGGGAAAATAACATAATTTACCATAACTTTTGAACCGTAATTTTTACAGAAATGGGATTTGTACCATTTTGTTCAGAATTTAAAGGGCTACAACATACTAAATTTTTATCAAAATCGTTCGGGCCATTTTTGAGAAAATCCGATTTTTCCAGTTTTTTATGGGTTTTTATGGGAAAATCCCCATAAAAAATCAAAATTTCAAAAAAATGAAAAAAACGCCTGGAGATACCACGGATTAAAACCTACATACCAAATTTCATTGAAATCGGACCACAGGTGTAGTCCCTAGCTCTGTACACATCCAGACACACAGACACACACACACACACACACACACACACACACACACACACACAGACATCACTTCAAAAACCACTTTTTTGGGTCCAGGGGGACCCAAAACGAATATATCCACTCAAAACTCAAACTCGAAAATTTTGACGAAAACAATACTTTCTCCATATACTATGGTATAGGGGGAGAAAGTAAAAATGATCTATGGATGCCTAAATGATTGTATTAAGCTTCATAGGTGTTCAGTTTCTTTGGGACACCTTGTAATTTGCTAATAATTACTCCTATTATACTTGATCAAAGATTATTGTTAGTTTTTTTTTTAACTTATTTTAAAACCATGTTATATTTGTTAAGGCAGAACAGAACAACATGCATTAATAAATGCTTTTGAAAGCATAAGAACCACTCACGTCAATCTAAGACCATAACTCAGACTGATATGTTTTATGATAATTAGCTCCTGACATTACGAAGGGTAAATGATCCCCTTCGTTGGGGAAGACTCTAGATGTCTGTGATGGCTGTGAGAGATGTAAGGACTTGCCTGTCTTCAGCACACAGACATTTCCATATTCATGAAGAGTTTGAAGGAGGAGTTTAGGTATGTGGGGGAGGGGTTTACTACTTCAATTTATAATATACAGCTTTTAACAATCATCACTGTATTAATTTTTAGGCATATTTTGTATTGCTTTTCATTTATGGCGTTCAGTTTAAGCAGTAATTTAACAACAAACAAATCTGGTTGGTTCTTGTTATATATTGAAACATTTGAGTTTTTAATACATGTGTCTATGCCTGTACTGTGTTTGGATATGTAGACTTTATGGCTTCTTTATGCCAAAGGAAGATGCACGCTGCTACCAACAGCTCTATCAGGAATTAAAATAAAACATTACGAGGTTTAGTTAAAGTTATTGGATTTTATAATGGAATTAATGGCTCTCTTGTACAGTATTATATTTGAAAAAGGGTTATACAAAAGTGTTTTTCAACATGATTTGCATGTATCAGCTGATCCATTGTTGTCATTCAAATCTTTAAACTTCAAAACATAACCTACAGTAAGACAGACGTCATGAACGTGCAAGAGAAAGCTCAGTGTGTTGAATGTCACATTGAAACAAAGTCTAACGCGAGGTGATTTTCCTGTCTGTGGCTTTGTCAAAGACCAAGTTAGTTAAGTTGAAAGTCTCCAATGTTGAAAAATTGAGATTAAAAATCAATGCAACCTTCAGCAACATCACCGATGAAATGCGAAATGGGGTGTGGTCAGATTAACAGTACTGACAGTCTTTTGCCAACAATGGAAGCCATGTTGAAATCTTTTAATTAAACTTATATCCAGAAAGACTTAAGAATATGTGTGTTACTTTACATTTAATAAAATTTTTATAAGTTTCATTGGGATACCCTATATTTTTGTTACTATCTTGTTAGACAAAAGGGAG